AATTCTCGAGCTAATAGTTTACCCGCCAAAACTTTCACGAGGCCGTAGGTGGGACCCGAGAGCGCGAGAACGCTGAATTTGGACGGGCAAGGTTGAGCGTGGCCAGGGGGTCATTACCCTAAAATTTCAGCCCCCTAGACACAGTGGTTCCCGAAATATTAACTACCCGTGGAAAACTTTCATGGCGCCGTACGTGTTACCCGCGGGTAAAGGAACAATGAATTTGAATGGGCAAGTTTGAGCGTGGGCAGGGGCTCATTACCCTAAAATTTCAGCCGCCTAGACTCCGTGGTTCCTGAGATATTAACTTACCCGTAAAAAACTTTCACGGCGCCGTACGCATTACCCGTGGGTACGGGGAAGCTGAATTTAAATTTGCGGGGTCACACGTGGGTGGGTAACGTTCCCTTAAACCCGCAGGTACGGGGAAGCTGAATTTAAATTTGCGGGGTCACACGTGGGTGGGGAACGTTACCCTAAATTTTTCTTCCTAGCTTTTGTGGTTCCCGAGTTGAAAGTTGCGGATAAGTTGCTCGGCCACACACACACACACACACACACACACGCAGACAACCCCGTGACAATATGTGTTTTGTACTGCTGCTACACAGTACAAAAAGGATAATAAGTTAGGGTGACAATCTCCAGGATCACATTGACAAGCTGATCGCCCAGTCTCAGTTAAAAAAATGACGAATAGCTGTAAAATGCATCGGCGACACAAGCCGGCTATGCAAGAGCAACTTGCTCTTCATGAGCATAAAGAGTTCGAGGCCAGCTGGTGACAGTGAATAAAACAAACCTCCGCTGGAAGTTTGCTGCGCAGTACTGCACCCATCCTGCTCCGTGCTGGTCGGCATAGGACTATCCACCACACTGCTTGTTGTTGGTCGAATCGGAGTTGGAACGGCTACTTTCTGAGGAAGAGCAGTAGCAGCAGCAGCAGCAGCAACATTTGCTGACGGTTGCACAGCCAATGACTGTTGCTGGTTTTGTGGCTGACTGGTTGGCACTGCTTGCCCAGTAAAAGCTGGAATTTGCTGTAGATCAGCGTATGCGGCAGTATGGGAGTAACGCTGCTGAGAGGTCACCATTTCTGAAGACGAACTTTTACCGTTTAAATTCGGGGAAAAAAATTAAAAAATATTCTAATAAAAAGAGAGTCCAAATATCCGCCATATTCCACTTTTCATAAAAAAATAATTGGCCAACGCACAGGCTGCCCGTGCGAAGATGCTTTTTTTGCGTAGCTTCCCGCAGATTTTTGTCGCTAACGGCACTGGTTTTTCTGGCAGATGTTTCAAGCTAATAGAATTTCAGACTGGCCGCCAGGACTGTCAGGAAACATTCCTTCAAAATCACAGTCTTCTAGCTTCTCACTTCCCCGAGTTAGCAACTTACCCGGAAGAAACTTTCAAGGGCCCGTACGTAGGTACCACGCTTACCCGCGCGCAGAGTTTGAACTCGTTAATACCTAATTGGACGGAGAACATTCCCCTAAGATTTCAGCGTCCTAGCTTCTCAGATGCCCGGGTTATGAACCTACACCAAAAAAAACTTTGGCGGGCCCGTACGCGGGTATCGCGCGGGTTCTGGCGCCCATTCTGGGGATTGGAGCCGGCACGTGCATGTAGATTAAATTCCCGAAATTTCAGCCCCACAGCTTTTACAGATCTGGAGATGAAAGTGCGTGACAGACGCACACACAGACAACCCCTCGTCAATATGAGTTTTCTGCATTGCATAACTGCAAAAAACGCATAAAAAGTCAGTAGAACTAACGGTGAACATAAGTGTATGCTCCGGAAGGCATCTGAAGCACAATGCCGGATGAGCCGGGTGGCGCACGAAGCTGAATACCTGCAAAGCAA